CTCTGAAGACGCCAGCCACAGTTGCAGGTGAAATGTCAGGGATAAGTTTGGAATAAATTCTTCCAGAATGTGGTCACATAGCCTGAAAAACCCACTGGGTAACTATGGGCAAGTCACACTCTCTCAGCCTCAGAGGAGGGCAAAGACAAACCTCCTCTGAACAAATCTTGCCAAGAAGACCCCCATGATACCTTGGTGCCCTGGTGGTTTAATGGTTAAATGGCTGTACTGCAGCCACTCAGTCACAAACCATAAGGTTGTGAGTTTAATACCAGCCAGGGGCTCAGGCTCAACTCAGGCTTGCATTCTTCCAGGGTCTCTAAAATTGATATACAATGCTGCAGAACTGGGTGTTCTCCGAGAGAAAGGGGCACACCTTGCTAGACATAGCTAGCCATTTTTATTTCCCAACCTGGCCAGTGAATCCCATTGGATAGGGTCAGCCAAGGTTTACACCTATCTCAAGCGCCTAATACAAATACACTATCTCCACCCCGTTTAGGTGTCCCTCTCCTAAAATCCTAAAATCCCCCAAATCCTATTTACATAATTCTTTTTAAGGGGTTAGGCTGACGTGGTTTTGGCTGGTGTATGACCTACTATCCTAACTAGAGTGGACTCTATAGTAATTTGTAACTGTCCTCCCAGCCCATTAGTACTACCTTTCTTCATGTTTGCTCAGAGAGGTCAGGATGGTACACCTACCATCTGGAGAATCTCTACCTGCCAAAAGATAACACCATCTGTCCTTTTCATGTTTTAATGAGTGACTCTCTTTGTGTGGAGTTAAGGAAATGTCCATTATTTCTACCCCTGGAGTTCATAAGGAGTTCAGACCTCTTCTTTCTACCTCTATCAACTAACCCTTTATATATATATGTTACTAACCATACATATATGTGTTGCTGACCATATTTGTGTGTGTGTGTGTGTGTGTGTGTGTGTATTGAATCCAAATATTACTTCTCTCATTGTCTAGTTTTTTAATAGCTGCCCTTCCCAGTCCTAGTCTTCTTCTGATTTTTTGGCTGCAGTCATCATTCTGATCAATGTTTGATCCACAGTATGAGAAATCTTTAGCTATTTCAATTTCCTTGTTATCTATGCTGAATTTATGTAATTTCTCTGTGGTCATGATTTTTGTTTTCTTTATGTTCAGTAGTAAGCCTGCCTTTGTACTTTCTTCTTTAACTTTCCTTGGTAATTCTTCCATGTCTATGATGTTTTCTGCTAGTTGTATGGTGTCACTTATATGTATGTCGTTGACCTTTCCTGTAGACCCAGGCAAAAGCAAACTGCTGCAGCATCTCTTGGCTTGTATATTCTTCCTTATTTATAATGTTTGATATTCTGTAACTCTGATCTTGTTTGGGCACACATGGCCCAGTTTTTATATGTGAATGGTTGGAAGGTAATTGTCAGCTGATCCTAACAAATTGGGCAATACATGATGTGCAGCTGTTTTTTGGTTTGTGTGTTATGCACAAAGAGTGGCTGATCAACTGAGCTTCTTGTATTTTGGGACTCTCCTTAGTGCATAGCTGTAGGCGCTGGGCACAGTCACGATGAGCCCTTTCATTTCAAAATTTATTGCTACACTGCTGTGATTGAGCCAATACTGCTGTGTTGCTTAATTAATAAAACTTTGTTGTTGTCGTTGTTGTTGACTTTGCTCCAGAGTTCTGAAATCACTGGATTAACCTCCCCCCCAACCACTTCCTAAACCAGAAGTCTTGCTTTACACTTCTTCAGATTTTACAAAACTCTTTCCTGGCAGTGACATGCTTCAAGCTCAGCCCCCAGAGAGCTCAAAATGAAGTATCACTACCAGCTATTTGCAGTTTAAAGGGAAACATGATGCAACTCTCCAAAAACCTCTCTTTAGGACATTAACCCCCCCCCCCCCCAGCAACATCCAGATTCAGGTCTCTGTGCAAGATTGTGGGTCTCCAACAAATGTCTGAAACAAGTCAGTAAAATATAAAATCAGATCTCTTCTTGCACCTCATGTTTTTTGCAAAAGGGAGTAAGTTCATTGCCACTGGTGTCTCCAAACACCAGCTTCTTTTTCAGTTCTGCTTCTTCCATCATATTGTGTTCCTCATCATGGATCAAACTGAGGTTCTCTGTACCCAAATACTGAGCAGGTTGTTCCAACATCCCCCAAGAGACAAGGTTCTTCCTTCAGGAGGAATACTGGGGTTTGTCAATTCAGTATTTCTTCATATTGGGCTATGTGAGGGAGTTGTTGCCACAGAGAATTCAGCCAACAATGCCCTTTCCAACCAACCCCCCTGCTTTGAAAGCATCTGAGGTCCAATATTTCAGCAGTGAGGATCAGATGCAAAGTGTGCGCCTATGAGTAGGTGGGATGTGCTTAATAAAAAACTTTTGGTGATCTGTTGAGGAAATTTGCAAGTTCTTTTTAATTCCCCAGGGAAAATCCCTGCTTCCTGCCTGGTTTGTAGACTAGAGTCTTCAATGTACAGATGGACAAAACTTTCATTTTTCCTGAATTTCTGGCATGTTGCTTTTTCCAAGCTATGGTTCTGAGAAATGCCACTGCTCCTATCCCTTGCTGGGTATCCTACTTACTCTTTTCATACTTAGATTTATTGAATTATTTATTGAGCCAACATGGTTTCACAGCTTGAGTGTTGAATTAGGGCTCCAGGATCAGGTTCAAATCCCCATTCAGCCATGGAGAAAGTCACATTCTCTCAGATCAGAGGAAGGCAACAGCAAAATTCCTCTGAATGAACCTTGCCATGAAAACCCTATGAAGACTCTATGAAAGGGTCATGATGTGTCAGAGGTGACTTGAAAACACATGACAGCATCAGAGACTTAATTTATTTGTTTGTTTGTTCACTTCATTTGTAACATGCTTTTCCACTCAATGAGCCCAAGAGTACACTCAGGCTCCCTATTGTGTCTTTACAACAACCCTGTAAGGTAGGTCAGACAGAGACAGAAAGAGTCTCAAGCTCAATCAATGTCTTTCATAGGCTTGTAGGAATCAGAAGCTGGGCTCCCCAAGTCCCAAGTCAACACTCTAACCCAGGAGTGGGAATCCTGTGCCCTGCATGCTGTAGGCAGTGCCAGAAGGTGCCCTTCCTCAGCCCACATCACTATTTTAAAACAAGAGAAATGAAAAATCATTCATCCTGAAGCCTCCAGGCAATGTGGTTCTTGGATGTCTGCTCTCCCATTTCTAGAACAAACTAGAACTGTGGCCCACAAGGCCCTAGAAGGTTGGAAAATGGGGCAAGTGCAGTCCTTAGACTTTCCATGGCTACTCATACCAGCCCTGACCATTATACCATACTTTCCAACTGTCCTAATTTCGCAGGGACAGTCCCGATGTATCCTCTGTCACCCCACTTTTTCAGCTGCATTTAAAATGTGCCAGCTTCTCTCTCTCTTCCTCCCATGATCACCTTTTATCATAAGCTTATTTCAGTTGGTGCAAATTGAGGTCAGAGTGCCAAAGTAGTTTGCATTCAATGAATTCAGCAGGGAGTAAAGGAGAGGAGAGGGCAGATTCTTGATCTCCTCTGTAGGCTCAGGCAAAAGTAAACTGCTGCAGCCTCTCCTAGCTTGTGTGTCCTTCCTCAGTATTAACTTCTGACATCTTGACTACACTCTGATGTCACTTGGCCACACAGATCCTGGTTTTCATCACAATTTCAGAGCGACGCCAACATGAAGGCTCTGGCTGCTGGTGGCTCCAATCTCACTGGGGTGGTGAATCCATTCCAGGAGTTAGACATAATTTTCAAGGAGCTGCTAAGGTGTGGAACGTATTTGGGGCATGGGTTTGAGCACCTTGGATATCTCCTCCAAAGTTCAGAGTAAAACCTGGAGAAGATTCACTACGCCACTGATATGGAAGCCTCCAGCTGCTGCAGAGGATCATCCTCCTTTCTCGTTTATGGCTCAGACTGACAATGTAGAATTTGAGTTTTCATTTTACTTGCTCAGAATTAACAACACTGTCACATCATAACAATAGTTTAAGTGATGTTGCAGCCAAGCAGGATATGAAATGTTGACATTGGCTGTAGGAAGCTGTGAATGATCTCCAGATCCATTCCCAGTTTTTCAACCTAAGTAGAAAGAAAGAAAGAAAGAAAGAAAGAAAGAAAGAAAGAAAGAAAGAGGAACCTGAACATCTATAAAAATGTTTGAGGCCTGATCTTTTATTTTTCATATATAGATAACCTCTTTTTATTTCAAGGAATTATATACTTCCTTTCAACAATGTTTCCATGACAGTTTCCCCAACAGCAATAATTTATACTCTTCCCTTTGACATCATTTCCATGGTAGTTTACGAAAACCATAAAAAAAGAACAAAATCACTATTTCACAACACACAAGAAGTTCATAAAACAACAACGTGAACAGCCATTAACAGCAGAACCATTTTAAAGAATAACATTACATCCCAGAGTATGTGAGGGCCAGGATGTCTCAAGCTGCGAGAGGAATTATTTATGGGGTTTGGAAGCTTGGTTTCTGTTCTGTACAGGCAAAAAGATATTTGCTGCCTCAGATAAAGAAGATGATGACTGTTCCCTTCACCCAGAACCCAGCTTGGGAGCATTAGTCATTACCATACTGTCCATCGTTTTCCAAAGGAAAAGTGGGACGCATCTGGTGAAACAACATCAGAGTGTGGTCAAGAAGGCAAAAGTTATTATTGATGAAGAACACACAAGCTAGGAGAGGCTGCAGCAGTTTGCTTTTGTTTGAACTTACTGGGAAGGGCAAGTTTCTACCCATTCCTCTCCACTCTCTCTGCTAAGCTAATTCCTGTGGTTGGATTCAGGAATACAGCCAAATGCTGGCCAGCTTCCTCTTCCTCCTCCTCCTCCGGTCTCTAAAAGTAGCTGGAGGGGTGTCTGTTCTAAAGACATGTAGATAGCATGGAATGGGGGTTGTTACTGGGTCTAAGTCTGTATTTTTAATCATGTTGTAAGCCATCCCACAATGTCAGCAGCATGGTGTAGTAGTTTGAGTGTTGGACTACAACTCTGGAGACCAGGGTTCAATTCCCGTTATTGTTGTTAAATGCCCTCGAGTCGATGCCCTATGGATGAGACATCTCCAAGACCCCCTGTCCTTCACTGCTCTGCTTAATTCCTGCAACCCCTTAATACCCATGATCTCCTTAATAGAGTCCATCCATCTGGCATGTGGCTTTCCTTTCTTTCTAATTCCCTTTGTCTTTTCCAACGATTCATGCCTTCTCATGATGTGTCCAAAGTATG